ATCATAGAAAGAGCTATTAATAATTTGATCTTGAATGTAATCGTAAGTATATGCAAACTCATTAAGAAACCATTGGGGATGTTGAACCCTAGCTACGCCTCTTTATTAAAACTTAAAACCAATATTTAGATTAACTAATTCTGAATTTATTTTCTAAAATATTAAAAACTAAAAATAAGTTTACAAAATCTGTTTTTAATTTAATTACAATATTCTCAAGAAATTCTTTTATGATCGATCCAACTTTAGTTGAATACATAAATAATTACTTGGTCATCAGTCCTCGTGGAATCGATAAATTTTCTTATCACTTTATTACTTGTACGACCGGTGCACTTGCCGAGTTCGCAACACTTGGCTTCGAGCCTGCTCATTCAGCAATGTATGAAACTCCATGTATATATATGTATCGTGAAATTAAGCTTGATGTTTCCAAGTTACTTGAGCACACATATACAGCGAACAATAATATGTACAATTAACCCAATTAGTATGGCTTTATGTACAAGTAACCCAATTAGTATGGCTTTATGTACAAGTAACCCAATTAGTACGAAATTGATCAAGATGTTGATAATAAATGTTATGAAATGTATAGTCTTTACAATGCCATGACTTATCGGGGGCATTAGATTGAAGTTACACATCACGATATCAAGCATAATAATATTGGCACTTTGTGTATAACAAAATGCATGGCATTATATTTTAACAGTTGCGACAGAATTTTATTACCGTCGTAAATTATGAAATTACCCTGTTGCAAATTCCCTCGCAAACCTTGACCAGATATACCGTCGCAACATCCACCGCAAATTGCGACGGATAATTTCAATAACCCTCGCAAAATAAGCCCTCCAGATTTGCGTGGAATTTTCTTGTTGTAAATTTGCCCATCGCAAATAATCGTCGCAGAGTTTTCACTTTTGCGACTGCTTTACTTTCAGTCGCAAATTGCAACTGATTTGCATCGAATCTACAACGGAATTTGCGTCTATTTTTTGGCGTCGAAACTATAGACCCATTTCTGTCGTCATTTGTAAATTAACGCAAATTCTATTTGGTTTTTTCCGTTGATAAACCTTTAGTTTATCTTGTTTTATAGGTTAAATTAATATAAATTATCAAGTTGAATAAGTCAAAAATTAGGGTTTTAATACAAATATCATGAACATTATCTGATTATGAATTAATTAAATACTATTTGCTATTTTTAAGGGATTTGATGACAAATGGAGTCAAAGAGAAGATATGGATAGATGGAGAGCAAAACAAAAAGATTTAATGATCTTATCAAGATTCTCAAGTTATTAGAGAGGGGGCTTAAGCCCCCGATTCGAAACTAAAGCCTCCAAAAATCAGCAAATGGCCTCTGCCTAAGCAAGCTTAAGCCCCAATTAGCAAGCTAAAGCCTCCTGTATAAGCAAATATGTTCGGCCTTAGCAAGCTTAAGCTCGCTTCAGCATGCTTAAGCGCGAGCCAAGGAGGAATTTCAGACGCGAAGAGCGCGCTTAAGCGCGCTCCAGCAGGCTTAAGCGCGCTACGTGAAATTTTCATACAATCTTCAGCAGGCTTAAGCTCGATCCAGCAAGCTTAAGCGCGAACGTTACTTCTGCATTCGTAAATCAGCAAGCTTAAGCGCGAATGAGCAAGCTTAAGTGCCCCGAATGATCCAACTTAAGCCCACTTGAAGAATCCACTTAGGGCACGAATTCTTTACCCTTAAAAACACATTTTGGGGTTCAGAATCAAAAAAATTTCATATTCTAAGAGAGTCTTTGGTACTTGGAGGCAGAGGGAACGCAGAGAAACACTCGGTTCATGTTCGTGAGCGGCGGAGACGGATCAACATCAAGTCTGCACTGGGGATATTGAAGATTCACCAATCATCTATGGAGTTTGGGGGAGCTTTATTATTGTCTTTCATTCTTGATATTGTTATGTCTGGCTAGTTCTTTAAGTAGTTAGGGTTAGATGGAATTTAATCGATTTATTATGCTTTAAACAATTCGTATGTTAATTTTCCTTTATATCATGAATGAAATTATCTGTTTTTAATGCTTTATATAGGCTTGAATCTTATATAATGATCGTAGGTAAATGCATGACAATAGGAATGTTGGTGTGTGATCCTTATCTGATAATTTCATCGTACACTTTATGATTCTAGGGATAGACATAGAGTTTGCGTAATCTTTAAGGGTGTGTTTGGTACAAGAGAAATTTTTTGGTGACCGGGAATCATGATTAATAGGAATTCAGTAGAAATTGAGTTTACTTGGAATCTTACGAAAGATGTGTTTGGTTCGCCAAAATATTACCGGGAATATTGGGTAAAAATTACTGATTCCATATTTGGTTTAGAACGAAATATGATTTGGAATATGAGGTTATTTTACAAAAATAACCCCAAACTATTTTTACTTTTGTAATTGATAGATTGGGTCTAGATTTTTATGTGTATTGGGGTATTTTTGTCTCAAAATTTATTGTTGTGCTTTCCCTTTACTTGGTATTCTGATTGGTATTCCGAATTACCATATTATTTTTGGTAATCTGAACAGTGACTTTTCTTTATAAATCAAATTACCAGTAATCCTTGAATATCCGGGAATCGTAATTTGTTCCTTCTACCAAACGTGGTAATTACATTTACCAAAGAAGGATTACCGGTAATCCTCTCCAAAAACTTGAACCAAACACCCCCTAAGATTCTTGAACCTAATGCTTGCATTCTTTGGGAATAACCGGGGAACTAGGGTTCTTGCAAGATTGTGAAGATTTAGGGTAACAAGGAATTGAGCCATAATTACATAAGAGAGAATTGATTAGATTGATATTAAGGACGATTAACATTAAGAAGGAATTCAAACATAATAAAGAGATTAAAGGAAATCGAACCCCTAGTTACGTTCTTTTAAATCAGTAAATTCAAATCTTTAAATTCTTTCTTTTAATTATTGCGATTAATTAGTTTTAATATTCCAAAGTTTGAATTCAAATCATGTTTCAAATACAATTTCGATTGTCCAACTAAATTTGCAATAGTGAATTAGTGCTTGAGTATAATTCTTGTGGGAATGATATCTTATTCAATCATTATATTACTTGTACGATCGGTGCACTTGCCGTGAGTCGCAACATTCGTCGCAGAATTTCCGTTGCTATTTGCACATTTTCTAGTAGTGATAGGTCTAGAACAACAACGCTAAAATGTGCAAGTAAATATGCATATTTTCCATATATATATATATATATATATATATATATATATACTTAATTTTAAGTTACAATGTAGTTTTAATATATTAAAATTTAAAAGTATTCTCACTTATTATATTTTATATTTTATAGACAAATTCATTTTAAAGAAATTTAAAAAAAAATGTGACCGAGAATACGAATGTTACCTTGATCAAAACCCAAATTAGCAGTGAACCCAAAAAAAAAAACCAAATTAGCTGATGACAATATTTTTTAAGTATACAAAAATAAGAAGATATAAGAAGTTAATAGAAACAACAAACTCTTCCACACTCAAACGAGGACGAGAATTGAAAATCCAGAAGCCGTGCAATAAATTGTGCAAACTAAATTAACAGCTAACATATTATTATTTTAATGCAAAGGTTATGTTTCATTATTTTATTTTTTAATATTAAATAATAATGTATTAATTATAAATTTATTAAGTTGCTAACGTGACGCCGCAAGAACACATTGATGCTAGAGGACTGTTAACTAGTTAATATCACCAAAGAAGTGATACAGATCCTTCACGTGTCAGTGATAGCATGACAAGTGGGCAACATGACAAGGAGAAAGTGAGAGAAAGAGGGAGAGAGAAAGAGTAGTTGATTTTTTTTTCTTTAGTGCAAAAATGTGTTGATTTTATGATCTGTATTCATGAAAATGCACGCATCTATCATTTTCCTTTACATTAATGCAAGCAGGTGCAGCAACGATTGAGTATGTATGGCCATGTGACTCGAATTGATATCTTTAGACTTTAGGTTGCAATGCACAGATTGCAAATTTGCAATTAAATCACCTGATAAAGAATCTTGAGATACACCACTCCAAAAATTAACTTAAAGGGTGAGAGTGCTAAGGCCTTATAAACTCCACATTAATTGCACATATAACCACACGGCCCCTCACACGAGAGCCCATTGGGCTTGAAGAGTGGACAATGCAACAGGCCCAGCCTACCTGTGCTAAGAAACGCCACAAGAGAAAGTGGGGGGCGGCGAGGCTCTGATACCATGTAAAGAACCTTGGGATACACCACCCTAAAAGCTAGCTCAAAGGGTGGGAGTGCCCAAGGCCTTATAAACTCCACATTAGTTGCACATACAACCAATGTGGGACTATATATCTCAATAACATACTTAATTTTTGTCCATAAATTATGTTTCATTAATTTTTTTCACCTTAAATTAAGTGATTTAAAAAAATATGAAAAATGTGTAATAATTATTTTACGAATATATTCTTTTATGAGAGTAAAAGAATGTAAGTTGTGTCATTTAAAAAGATAAACACTTTTTCCTTGATTAAATGTTGACCTGTGCTAAGAAACGCCACAAGAGAAAGTGAGGGGCGGCGAGGCTCTGATACCATGTAAAGAACCTTGGGATACACCACCCTAAAAGCTAGCTCAAAGGGTGGGAGTGCCCAAGGCCTTATAAACTCCACATTAGTTGCACATACAACCAATGTGGGACTATATATCTCAATAACATACTTAATTTTTGTCCATGAATTATGTTTCATTAATTTTTTTCACCTTAAATTAAGTGATTTAAAAAAATATGAAAAATGTGTAATAATTATTTTACGAATATATTTTGGTGGTGTTTTTGGTGGAAGCAACATTTAATCAAGGAAAAAGTGTTTATCTTTTTAAATGACACAACTTACATTCTTTTACTCTCATAAAGAGGTGGGACTTATACCTTTATTTTTTTTGTTCACTCTTTTTTTTCTTTATCTATCTTTTTTTCTCACTTAAAATGACACAATTTTATATCTTTTAAAATGACACACACTTTAACGTTTAATCAAATGTGCAGATTCTAACAATATTACACAGGATGTGACACTATTACAAAAAAACAAAAACAAAGCCAAAAATTGAAGAAACAAGACACAAGCAATCGCAACTGGAAATGGACATGATATATTCTACATCCTCAGCACTCAATAGAAAATTCTACTATCTTAGGAGAGAGCTTATTCTATGCTATTATATTGTGAATATCATGTTCTTCCCCGTCCATATTTTTTACAGATCGTCATGATCATTAAAAGCATTACTGATAGTATTATTTTTGGTTGCAATAACTATTTACGGTCATATTTTATCATGAGCTATTATCAGGCCATCATGGATCCAACAATGGCCTCGTAGCTTCGGAATCTTCAGTGGTTTCTGATGGCTTTGACTGAGTCATCTTTTGCATTTCTTTGCTCTTACCCCATAGCACCGCATATAGTCCAATCACAATCAGCACCGATCCAATCGCACTATTGATAATATAAAAATCAAAATAAAATCGAATTAATTCATGAATGCCAAGGCCAGCAATATATATATATATATATATATATATATATATATAGGTGGAAAAAATATTTAGTGCATACCTTCCCAAATATAATTTTTCATCCAACGTCAGAGAAGCAACGATAGCCACAAGCACAAGCATTAGAGGGTTGAAAGAAGATGCAAATAAAGGGCCTCTCACTCGTATGCAATATGCAATGAAAATAATCATAAATCCGGAGGCCATAATTCCCTGTAAATAACACATTAACTCACATAAAATATCATTCATAATTAGCATATTAATGTAGTTCACAAGTCACGACTAAGGTGCTAGTTAACAATGAGTATACCGAGTACGCCGCAGTTAGGAGCCTGACATCCCAACCCATTTTCCATTGGTTCCAATCCCTCTCAACACAAAGACCAAAAATAATGGATTGTATTGCTCCTATTGTACACATCAAAGCTATGCTTGTGTAATAGCATGGATATACCTCATTTATCTTAGCCTGTGCAATATAAAGTAATTAATCAATGAACAAGAAACACCGCAAGTCAAATGACAGCTTCACAGACATCAAAGTTATTTTATTTTTATTTATTTTTTGCAGGAATTCCTGCATGAGAATTTTGTTTGCCTATATATATATATATATATATATATATATATATATATAAAATATGCAACTAGGCTATAGAAACACAAGTTCACCTGAATGATCAGCCACACAGAGAAACAGAAGCAGCTTGCTATGACGCTTAGAGCACCCAACAATTCATTACTACCAGGGTCAGCGTTCTCGTGCCCTGGTAGTAATGAATAAAGGTTGAAATGAAAAGGCCAAATATCAAATACTATCCCTTTATAAAAGGCCAGCACCATTGCCCCAACAAGTCCACTTATAGTTCCGAACACCTTGGCCTTTCCTGCTGCTGCTCCCCAATTTAATTTTTCGAAACTATAGAAACATGGTATCATTTAGATATGAAAAAAAAAATTGATCAGTTTAAATAAATAAAAAATTTAAAACAAATATGAATAATATGAAAAAAAAAATAGACAAAATATCATTTTAAATATAATAGGTATGATTTCGGTTTGATTTAGATTAGATCAGTTTTTAAATTCGGATGTGAAAATTGATCCAATTCAATTAATTATTTAGTCTATTCAATTTTAGAGTTTGACTCAATTTTTTATTTGATTAAATGAATTCGGTGTTAAATACCCAGAGCCAAGACCTTTGTTCATCAAGCCAAGTCTTGTTGGGATTTTCAACATTAATTCAAGAAAGAAGATCAAGTATAGTGCCAAGGTGAGTAAACGTACCCGATGGAAATGGCCAAGATAAAGGTGATGGAAGGAATAAGGTTGTAGAGTGCGGACACCAAGGTTGCTGGCGCTAATGTCATGGCTCCGTAGAATAAGTTTTGAAATAAAGTTCCACTGTTCCATTATATATATATTCATATAAGTTTTTTTAATGAAACATCAATTAACAATGTACGTACACGACGAAAGTTGTGACATGGAGCAAATGGTAGAATTTACGTAATACATACCCAAACAATCCACTGAGAAATGCCAAACCAAACACCTTCCAAGTCATGTTTGGTCTCTTCCTGTATATAGCAGAAACAAAATATGCAAAACCAATAGGACAAGTTAATCTATTGCCCAAGTTTCAAGTTGAAAGAAACTATAATGTTTGTTTCTTTTCAATTTAAATTAAGTATGTTAGGGAATTCACATCATTAGTCATGATAACTAATCATAATAATAGTCTTTTAATTAGTAATACGATTGAGTTAATATACTAAATTTCCTTATGCTTATGCAAGTTGCAAAATAAACACTTGCCTCTCAAAAACTAAAGCAAGGGGAATAGTGGTAAGCGCTGCGAAGGCGAGACGGTAGGCTGAAAGAATAATGGTGCTCATTCCATCATAAATGGTAAGCTTGTAGAGTATATTGCAAGCTGCAAATGTGATCTGCACTATCGCCATTAGCACCGCTGGTCTCCATTTATCCCACATGCCACCCTTCATCTTCAAGAATGGGCCCTAACCTGCGTTTGAGATCCAAATGCATATATAAAGAAAGGAAATTTGGATCAAACTTTGCCAGTAGTTGATAACCACGAAAATATATAATAACAACAAAATAAATATAAAGGAAATAAAATTATAATAAGTGTCACGAGTCACACGACCCGGGAAACGAGGGAGAAAAAAAGAAGAAATCATTAATAATTTTTTTATTGGGTTGTAAAAAAAAGACTGCGAAGCTCTTAAAAACTGAAAGTATTCTTTGTAACTAATTAAGGCATGTTTGGATGAGTTATTTTTTTAGGAAAAAAAATAATTCGATTATAAAATTTGTTTAAATGTTTGCTTTTAAAAGTCTGTTTGGAGTTTTTTTAAGATAAAAGATTTTTAAGCTAAACCTAGAAAAAGCTTAAAAACTGTTTGGTAATTATATAAAACTTTTAGCTTAAAAGTTATTTAAAAGCTCAAACCTCATTTCAAGAAAAACTAATAAGAGCTTAAAAATAAATCTCCTTCTAGGAGCTTTTGGCTTTTGACTTTTTGCTTCATTATAATTTTTTTTAGAGTAAATACCTTTTTTGGTCCTCAGCAAATTTCATGATACCCGCTTTAGTCCCTAGCAAATAAAAAGGCTCATCGTGGTCCCTAAGAAATTCAAAATGGACACATTTTAGTCCTTTTAGGGACTAATATGGGTCTTTTTTGAATTTGTGAGGGACCGCGATTTTAACTAAATGAGTCCATTTTGAATTTCTTAGGGACTACGATGAGCCTTCTTATTTGCTAGGGACTAAAATGGGCATTATGAAATTTGCTGAGGACCAAAAATGGTATTTACTCTTTTTATTATTATTATAAGAGCTTTTGAAAAATTTGTTTGGCCTAGCTTCTACCCATAAGTAGAAGAGAAGTTAAAAAAGAAAAAAAAAATGAGGATTCAAACCGGCACTAAAAAAAAACAGTAGTCACAACAAAAGCTAAAAAACCAACTTTTTTTTTAAATTAAAAATTTTAGTTTATAAAAAAACAAAAGCCTAAAGCCAAATAACTTTTTAAAAACCAAATATATTTTTTTGAAATTTAAATACTTTTACCTTTATAAAAGGGAAAACTTCAAAAAAAAAAAAACTCTGTGAGTTTTTTTAATTATCACTTACCCCTTCATAATTTTTTTGAATTACTTACACTTTTATTTAGATTTTTTTATCACTTATCCCTGACTTAAAGTTTCTTTATCATTTATCCATCTCACTTAAAGAGATAAATGATATAAAAACTTTAAGTCAAGAGTAAATGGTTCAAAATTTTATGAGAGATAAGTGATTATGAGAAAAGTAACAGATGTTTTTTTAAAATTTTCCCTTTATAAAAAGAACATCCAAAATAAATAAGAAATAAAATTTTTTTTTTTTTTACCCGCCCATCCAAACGGGCAGTAAGTATCGAAAAGGTGGTGAATTAGATTGGATTGCATTGATTTAATATTATTAAATCGATCTAAAGTAGTTTTGATTGGATTAGTTTTTTGATTTTTTTTAGAGAGGCAATAAATAAACTCCAAAAATACATAGCAAAGAGATAACAAAAACTAATTCAAACACCAAAAAAAAAAGTGTTCGGTATGGATTATATATATATATATATATAGGAGAGTTATATTTACAAATTTTTTTGTTTATAATCTACATTATGTACTCTCAGAAATACACTGGGTTACTATATGTATTTTCGGGAGTACATCATGTAAATTACAAAGATTTGTAAACAAATCTTTTTCTCTATATATATATATATATATATATATATATATATAAACAATATTTTTACAGCCACTTTTTTTGGTACATAACTTTTTACATTCACTTTAGATAAAGTTAACTACAACTACCCTTTATCTACAGCTATGTACTTGTAGTACATAATTATAACATTAAAATTATTTTTTTTCTCCCATTCAGCTAACATGTTCTGAAAAGTAACTAAGGAGAGAAAAAATAACTTTAATGTTATAATTATGTACTACCGGTAGTATATAATTATAAAGGATAACTGTAAATAACCTTATCTAGAATGGCTGTAGAAATATTTATCTATATATATATATATGGGTTTTATGTTTATCATGTAACATGATATAACATCACTTTCCTACACACACATTAAAGAGGTGAGGTCCACATGTTTTTCTTTCTTTTTCATCATTCCACTTTTTCTCTCCATCTTTTTGTGTGTGTTGGAAATAACACTTAAATCATGTAACATAACACTAATAAAACCCTATATATATGTGTGTGTGTGATAATTTCTTAAATAAAAGTTTGGTTTGGTTAGAATTGGATCAATTTTTAAAATCTGAATTAAAAGTTTTTTAATTAGTTTGTAATAATAATAATAATAATAATAATAATAAGGGCTTTATTTCTCTTATGTAATATGAGAGAAGTTATCTTATGTTGTGAGATAAATAAAGTGGGATTCACCAATTTTTTAAAAAAGAAAAAATGAAGAAAAGGAAAGGCAATCTTTTTATGTGAGTGTAACATGAGAGATGAATCTTATTTAACATAAAAGTATAATTTCTCTAATAATAATAATAATAATATTTTTATTAGATCGATCTAAAGTTTTTACCAAAAGAAATGGATTAAAGTAGTTTTGATTGGATTAATTTTTTTGATTTTTTTTAAAGAGGCAATAAATGAACTCAAAAAATACATACTAAAGATAACAAAAAATAATTCAAAATCTTAAATATAAAATAAGAAAACATGAGACACAATAACATACTTCAAACTAATTTATAACTGAAAAACTTATAAATTAATAAGACGTAAATTAAGGAATAAAGCCATAGAAAAAATAATTTGTAAAAACTGGTGTAGACAACGACAAACTACAAGTAAAGTGTTCGGTATCCACACCAGAAAAAAAAACAATTTTTAAAATCATAATTAAAAGTATGATCCAATGCAATGAAAAAATGAGGAAGGTTATACTTATAACTTTTTTTTTTACAACCTCTTATAACCATATCTTAACACCGTTGATTTCCGCTAATCAACGGTTAAGATTTATTGCGAATTAATAATTAATTAATAAATTTAATTTCTAAAAATCTTAACCGTTGATTGACGGAAATCAACGGTTAAGATATGAGTTGTAAGATGTTGTAAAGAAAAATAGGTTGTAAGTATAACATTCCACAGAAAAAATTGAGTTTTCTTATTTGATTTTAAATTTTCGGTTTTTTATTTCCGATAAATTATATTAATTTGAACATCTCTATAAGTAAGGTTGAAGAGTTTGATTATACCCGTGAATAATAAAATTTAGAGTAAACATCCTTTTTAGTCCCTGGCAATATCTACGAAGTCCTTTTCAGTCCCTAGCAATAAAAAAGGACCAAATTGGTCCCTGAAAGTACAAGAAAAGGGTCACTCTACATATTTGGGAGTTGACATAAGGACTAACATGGCTCTTTTTTTGTAATTTCAGGGACCAATTTGGTCCTTTTTTATTGCCAGGGACTAAAAAGGACTTCGTAGATATTGACAGGGACTAAAAAGGGTGTTTACTCTAAAATTTAAATCTTACCACATTTTTAATATATATATTTTAAATAATTACCCTAAATCGATCGTACAAATGAATTAATACCATAAAAGTATCTATTTTCTTCCTCAAAGCAAGCAACATCAAATAAAACTAAATATTTACAAAACGCCAAAAGAAAAACGGATTTACAAAAAAAATATTACATTCTAGCAGGACTTGCGATTTATATATCGTTAGTGCAATGAATTTTTCTTTTTTCTGGTGGAAAGTGCATTGAAAATCTAAAACTAACGTGATTTAAAAAAAAACAAATTGTTGGTAAATTAGTATATAATCAATATTCTATTTTATAAAATAAATTCACTCATGCAAATGCTTGAAGATAACATCAAGTTATATAATGAATCCGTATATAAATCGATTGACATTGAAAGTTCTATAAAGCCATATAATCAATATTGAGGACTATAAGACTATTGCATAAATTTATAAATCATAAGGACTTTAAAGAAACTTATTTGATAGTTAAAATTTTATTTGATCATGTCATGCAAGCATTAGAATAAGCAAAATAATAATAATAATAATAATAAGGGAAAAATTATTCTCATACTACATGAGATAAATTTTTCCTCCTACACACTCTTCGATAACTGTGCTATTTTTTTTCAGGTGATGGAGCCCACAAATTTATCTCTATAACATGAGATAACTTATCATCTTTAACATGAGATTAATAAAACTCTAATAATAATTGGCATTCAAAGAACAAACCTTAATACAAAACCCGTTGTAAACTCAATCTATTATTTTGTTGGGTTCAAACTAAGGGAACCACGCTTAGAGTACCGATGATAACTCGTACAATCATTTCTATATTAATAGTAATATTATAGAGAATCTAAAACCTTTATCAATTTTTTGATTATACTTTTCATACGAAAAAAATTAATTAAAAAATATTTTAAAAGTTCAATAATAGTCAAATAATTCTTAAAAAAGTGAAATTAAAAAAAATAATATTTTTCTTTAAAAATATTTTAAAAAAATATATAAAAAAAATACCTTAAACAGTCTTTGTATCTCAGCAATGCGAAAGAAGAGGTGAAAATGGTGCAGAGGTTGAAGATTGTGTTTGGTTGATGCTGGTTTTCAGTGGTGGCTTATGGCTAAGATGGGTGGTTGCCGCCGGTGGTTTTGATCTGTTTGTAGTGGTTGATTTCGGTGTTGGGTCTCTGGATGTGAATTTGGCTTGGAAGAGTTTCTGAGTTCAGTGTAGGTTCTGGCTGAGGTCGCGTCTGCAAAGGTTATGGGGTTTTGTTCGGTGATTTACTCAGATGTCGAAGGTTGCTGTTTTTGTGGTTGACGGGTTGGAGTAATTTGACTTGAAAATTGATGTTGCAATTTCTGGAATTTTTTTTTTTGTAGACTGAACAATAAGGCAGAGGACAGCGTGCAAATCGTGCTGTGCTCTTTGAGAGAGATGATGTGCTTGTAAGGTGCCGCACGAAGGCATTTATAGAGGGAGGTAGAAAATATAAAAATATAAAAAATATAAAATAAATGAGGTAGGATCCTTTGACAAAATTTGACACCTCATCTGAGAGCCGTTAGATCAAAAAAGATCAATGGTGTCATATGCTTATAAATCAGAGTCGTTGATCTTTTTTGATCTAACGGCTCTCAGATGAGGTGTCAAACTTCAAATTTGACACCGGTGTTAAAAGATCCTGCCTCAAATTTTTTGTTTATAAATTTTTAAAAACTACCCTAAGTATAACTGGTCATACTTCAATCAAGAGTGTATTACCGGTCATACTTAATATAATTTGTAAAAAAAAAAATTAAAAACAGATCATTCCCCAATAAATATAAGGTTTTATGTTTATCATGTAACATAATATAACCCCACTTTCCTACACACACATTAAAGAGGTGGGGTCCACATATTTTTCTTACTCTTTCATCATTCCACTTGCTCTATCCTTTTTATTGTATGTGTTGAAAACAACATTTAAATTATGTTACATAACATTAATAAAACCCATAAATATATATCAAAACGACATAATTTTATTTAAAAAGACACAAAGTATTTATTATGTGTTTGGTGCTTGTCATTTTAAATGACATAAGTTATGTCATTTTAGAAAAAAGATAGACACAAAAAATGAAAATCATGGGAGAGAAAGTAGGTGATTTTTTTAATTTAAATTTTAAATAAAAAATTTATTTTGTGTCTATCTTTCTCTTAAAATGACATAATTTTATGTCTTTTTTTATAAATAATTTTATATTATATAAAATGACAAACACTTTTCCCATTTATTATATATATTTGGATTTATTTTTCTCATGTTGCATAAGAAAATAAATCCTTTCTACACACATCATAAAAAGGTGTGCCACTTTTTTTTAAATAGATGAATTCCACACTTGATGTATCTATGATATAAAATTATAATTTTCCTACTTTCCCTATATATTTATAAAGGGTTTGTATTTTCTTATGTAGTAGGAGGTATCTTCTCTCATGTGGTAGACTCAAAGGCATTGTGGGTCCCACCACAATAAATAGAAAAGAAAAAAAGAAAAGAGAAGATACACATTTCGATGTATGTGTAGAAAAAATATTCTCTCTCTTACTGCATGAAAGACATATTTCCCATTTATAAATTTGACATTTATAGAGGGATGTATATTTTGACTTTTGACGTATGTGAATTATTTCATACTTCTTTAATATATATTTATAAATTTGAATAGTAATTTTCTTATTTATTACTTATGAAACAAAAAAAATAACTACTAATTTTTTATGTCACGTTATTATACCATAAGCTTAAATAGAAAGATTTATTTTCATTTGAAACATGCAATTAATTTAGAAAAAAATATTTCTCTTACAACCGAATGAAAAATTATATTAAATAACCCAAAAATAACGTTGTTATGGGATTTAGAGAATAAATATAGAGTATTTTGAAATTTTTATTTTCTATTTGCATCATGAATTTTATTAAATATACCTTGTCTTTTTTTCAAAGTCCAAAAAAATATTATTTTGGACTTATAAGAGATAATTTTATTTCCTATTATATGAAAAATTAATCCCATTAATTTAATCTATTGTATTATTAGTAAGAATGTACTCTTTATTTTTAAAGTCCAACTTAAGGCTATTTTTTATGGGAAAAATAACTCTCATGTCAAATAAAATAGCTTCCCTTATATTATAGATATAAAATATGTGGAGCCCCTCTATTATTTTGAAAATAAAATAAAAAACTCAAACACATTTTTTGATGAGTGTATAGGATCAAAATTGTATATTTTTTCTCATGTAACATGATCAACATACCCCTTTCTTTATTGTTCTTATAGCGAAACTTGATTCTTGCTTGCAGGGCATGGGGACATAGTCGTGCTGGTTGGTAGCCAAAGCCATTATTTAAGAGAGTAATTGAGATGGGTGCATACACTTAATTTTAGTCCATTGCAATATTGCATTATTGGTATATTTTTCCCATTTTTAAAAAATCCAAATTTTAGGTTATTTCATTTAGCTCCTAATACCATTTTGCAAATGCTGGTTGGTGCCAAGTATAAATGGTCAAGGACCATATTTTTACCAAAAAAAAAAAAAAAAAGGTCCACCGTACCAATAAATTGTGTCCGTCTCACACCATATGATCATTTTTTTTTTTTTACCAAATTATCCATTTTATCCCCTCTATATAACATAAGGACCAAGTTGTCCTACACCAAAAAAAGAGATCTCGAGTTCTAGAGGGGCCCGTAGGCCGTAATTCACGCTGCCGCACATGAAAGAGTTCATGTTCAAACATGTCCACACATGCAATTTTTTTTTATCTTAAAATTAAAATATGAATAATATATAAAACCATCTTGTTTTATGTTGAAATTTTATTTTTACGAAAAAATAAATTTTATAAAAATATTAATATTATATATCATAAGAAATAAATATTTAAACTCCGTTAATGCATATAAATGATTTTATTTTTCGGACAGTCCAAAGCACAAGTAGGGAAATAAGATATACTATATACTACTTTGAGCTCGATAAAGCTCCACGTAGTTTGGCAGCAAGGGGGACCAAAAGATATGGTTGATTTTGTAATTGTGACAGATAATTTATTACATTAACAAGGATTAAGATCAACTTGTCATATTTCAGGGGCCAACTTTATAATTGCAAGTAGGAAAAATGTCACCTGTTACGAAAACGACGGGTAAATAAATATCAAATGCTGGTCTTCATCCGTTTATAAATCATTTTATATATTTAGATGAAAATTGTGTATCATTTTAATTAAATGGTGTAAAATTGTATCATTTAAAGTGAGAGAAAGAGATAGATCATGGGGAAGAGAAAGTGGACAATAAAAATTAAAAGTGTGAGTCTCACATTTTTGTGAGAATGAAATGACATAATTTATGTCAATTAATAGGATAAATATTTTTTTCCTATTTAAATAGGGGAAGATAAATATTTTTTCCTATTTAGATAGGGTGTGCATGGTTGAGTTCAATTAGATTTTTTTGTCGAATAAAATTGAATTTGAAAAAAAATATTCAGTTCTTAGAAATGAATTGGTTTATTAGTTCAGTTCAATTTTGAACTGGTTCATAGTCAGTTCGGTTCAGCTCAAAATCAGTTTTGAATTAGTTTTTCAAATTAATTTCAAGTACAAAAAAAAATTACAAAATGATTGAAGGAAAAAAATTAAAAAATTAATATATATATATATATGTGTGTGTTGGGTAGTGAAAATTAAAAAAAGCAATAAATATTTAAAAAAATAAGAAAAAAAAATACATAAGAGAAAAAGAGTAAAAGAAAATAAAAAATAAAGAAAGAAATAAAAAAAATAAAAAAGAAGGAGGTAAATAAATAAATAAGAGAAGAGAAGTAGAGAGGAAAAAAGAAAAATAAATGAAAAGATGAACAAAAAATCTGGTTCAATTCATGAATTGATTTTCAATTCAAGAACTAGTTTTTAAAATTAGTTTATTTAAGAACTGATTTTTTAAATGAATTTTTTTAAGGGTAATATTTTTTGTGGTTCTTTTGCAATTCTAAACTAGTTTTTGAACCAGTTATGAAACTATATGAAAGGTATAAAAATATTGAGGAAAAAATAAAATACTATAAATAAAATAATGCCATAAATTTTAAAAAAAAGCAATAAACAATTAAAAAATAAAATAAAGTAAAAATATGAGAGAAAATATATAACAGAAAAAAGAAAAGAAAAGAATAAATTCTTTTTAAAGAATTAAAGTAATAAAAATAAAGATAAAAAAGAAAAAAACAGAGAAAAATATATAAAAAATAATTGAAGATGAAAAAAAAAGCAATTCATTTTATGGTTTTTCAAAATCAGTTCGATTCTTAAATTTGATTTTGAAATTCAATTTGGTTTATAAACCAATTTAATTTATGAATTTATTTTTCAAAAACAATTAAGTTTAAGAACTGATTTTTAAAAAGTAATTTGGATCAAGAATTTAATTTTAAAAATTAATTTTTTTAAGTTCAGTTCAATTCAGATATTTTTATGGAAAAAATATGTGTCCGTTTAAAGAATACAAACTTAGATCCTTTTAAGGGAGAGAAAGACACAAAGTGGTAGGGGACCCACTAAAAAATTAAAAACACGAAAAATAAAAATGTGAATCTCATCTCTTTGTGTCTATCTTTTTCTTAAAATAACTTAAATTTATGTCATTTAGAAGGACACACACTTTTTTCTTTTTTATATATTCGTATATTTAGAGCGTGTTTGAATTCTTTTTTTTTAAATTAAAAGCTACTTTTACTGTAAAGTTAAAAAAAAGAGCTTAAAAAAAGTTAAAAGCTATTATTTGGTGAATAAAAAAAATTTAACTTAAAAAATATTTAAAAGCTTACATTTCAAGAAAATCTTATTTCTTTATTTCTATGACTCTTTATTTAAAAAAAAATACATAATTCAAGAAAAGTTTATAGGAATTTAAAAAAAGTTTCTTCTAGAAATTTTTTATTTTTGTTTTTTTTTATTATAAAAAAACTTTTCATTATAAGATTTTGTTTTAAAACCTATTTAACCTAACATTTATTTATAGCTAACTTCTAACATCAAAATAAGAGTATATAAAGAGAATTCATATGCTCCGACCAAGACTTTGTTAGCTGTTGACGCATGCAATGACTGAGAGGAGATGAATCGTGAACACTGAACAGCGAGGATGATGTGGAGCTACAATAATTGGTGCGTGGCTGAGCTGGCAATGTGATATTAATTTAGATGCAGACAAATTTTTGGTGCATTTAACTTTGTATATTTTTTTTACGGAAGAAGAATTTATTTATAATTTTTTTATAAACTTATAAATTATATTATGTTTGATCGATAATATTCTATTAAATAATGTATTATCGATCAAATATAATATAGTTTATGT